ACCAACTAAGCCACCCAGGCACACTCCTGCTATAATCATTTTTGATCACCATTCCTTGTTTATACCTTTAATCCCTCATATTATTTCATGTTGTTTTCATCATCTCCCAACTAATCAGTACACAACCTTCATAAAAGACAAACTGGCAATACCTTGAACTTCTAGGAATTTATCCAAAGATATGGCATATCTATTAATGTAGCATTGTTTTCAATAGAGAAAAATCAGTAACAATTTAAGTATCCATCAACAGGTGATAGATTAAAATAAATTGTGGTACACAGAAATAATATAGCTATAAAAAGATGGAAGGAATTATATACTGATAACATTCTTTGTATATGGATGAGATACACTGTTAAGTATACAAACATGATGTGTTTTACCATTTGGGTAAAAATGGGAAGTATGTGCATATATAATACCTCTGGAAGAATACTGATATAATACAGATATATTCTGGGAGGGGAACTATATCTGGAAGATTAGAGGGACAATTTTCAATGTATACCCCTTTTAATTTTTGAACCAGAAATTATTTTTAAAAATAAAATTATTTTAAAATAAAACAAAAATAACCAATAAATATCTATTTACAACCTGTATCTTCAACCTTGGATGAGACACAAGAAAGGAACCTTGTGTCTTATCCTATTTCCACACCTATTCTTCTCAGTAATGGAGGGAATTCAGAATTCTATCAGCAACAAAACATTACCTCCTGCCAAGTATTTTCCTGTATATGCCATGGGGGCAAATGCAGAACAAAGTATACTACAAAACCCCTTTTAAAGACTTAAATTAGTACAAAAGCACTCTAGGTTGACTTTAATACTGTAATTACAATGGAGAAACTGCACAGTTAGGTATTCTTTCAACAGTCAAACATTTATTGAACATCTACACTCTTCTGGCATTGAACAGGTAGTAGTTCTTGATCTATGCAATAACATTTACCAAAGGAACTTTTTTTTTTTTTTTTTTTTTTTTTTAAGAAAGGCAGACTGCCACGTGCAGCGCCTTACTTGGATGTGTCTGGAGTCTTGAAAGCTTGACTACCCGACATTCTCCTACAAATGGACCTTGAGAGCTTGTTTACAGGTTTTAGCAGGGGAGCGCGGCTACTTGTATATCCTTGACTGAAGAACAATCCTCCTCTATCGGGGAAGGTCGTCCTCTTCAGCCAAGTGCGCAGCTTCTGGAAGGATGCACATGAAGCGGTGAGGGAGGAAGGGGACACCTGCCTAGCCAGCCAGATCAGCTGAATTAATCCTGGAGATCAATGGGGTGACAGATGTCGCAGCAATATCACCCTCACATCCAGAAAAGCAACTTTTAAAAATACTGATGCTTGGGTTTCACTTCTAGAAACTGATTCAAATGGCTTGACGTGTGGCCTAGGCACTAATTTCTTTTTAATTTTAGAGAGTGGGAGAGAGAGAGTGCACACGGGGTAAGGGCAGTGGAAGAAGGCGAGAGAATCCCAAGTAGGCGCCACGCTCAGCGTAGAGCCTGAGGTGGGGCTCAATCTCTCAATCCTGGGATCATGACCTGAGCCGAAATCAAGAGTTGGGACACTCAACCGACTGAGCTAGCCAGGCGTCCCTGCACTGACAATTTTTAAAGATCCCCAAGTTGAGAGAGTTGAGATGCCCAAGTTGTGAGAGTTGAAGAATAAAAAGGTAGAGTAAATGATCTGGAATGAGAGAAGAGTTCAAATTCCTCACAGTTCCTACCATTTTCCAATAATTCCCTGCAAATCTCTAACAATTAGAGTATGTATTTGGGGAAATTCAAATTACCTAAATTCTTTCTGCATTGGATTATAGTGACTGAATAAAATAACATATCTTTCAAAAGAATCTAATACATCTGGATTTAGTAGTTGCTCAGAAAACGGGTAAAATCCTAACTTCTGATAGAAAAACTGCCTCTGTAGAAGTAATTTCCAATTTCAGCATTGACTTATTTTTTCTGGTTTGCTAGTTGTACTTGAATTCCTACTGGAAAACTAAAAGTAGAACTCTTAGTTCTACTGACTCACCCATCACTCACAAATCCACCTACATATATACTAATTTGAGTATAACAACCACACATGGTATGTCAAACATGTTATAATTGATTTTAAGGATCTATGCATGAATTTTTGATGTCTGGACTCAGGGCATCATCACAGTAATAGTATCTAACATTTACTGTGCCACAACAGTGAGTCACTCTGCCAAGTAATTTATAGGCATGATTCCATTTAATCCTCACAAAACTTCAAGTTATTTTTATCCCCATTTCACAGATGACAGATTTAGAGATATAAAGTCACTTGACCAAGGTTATACAACTAACTACTAAATGGCAGTGACAGGATTCAAATCCAGTTCCATCACTCTTAAAAGTCTCTGCTCTTTACCCCAATGCTATATTAATTCTCAGATCCTTTCTTTTCTCTCTCACTCTTTCATTTATACTTCTGAAAAGTAATAAGGCTTTAGAGTACGTTATCAGAAGTTTCCTTTTCAGGGTCTTTGCCACAGGCCACAGAAACTTTCCAAGTTGGCCAGGCACCAGAGAAGATTACCCATTAAGGAGAAATTACTTTGTATAAATAGAAATTAGTCCTAGGAGGACACCTTGCACTTCTAATTCCCTTCATTAAAAAAAATAATAAAGTTCTAAGGACTACCCAATTTATACCAACATATGAGTAATTCCCATCTGGTTAAAGAGCCAATAATCTATACCTCCAAAGGTTGTTCCTACTCCCACAGAGACTT